GGTCTCATATCCCACTTAACCTCCTTAGGACAACGTAGAGAGGAAAGGTGGAAATCTACCTCTTTATTAATCCTTCCAATCAGATGAACGAGCCTAATGTTTCTACGCAACAGTTCTGGGCGGGTGGGAGCGAAGGAGGGCAGGAGGGACACTTTCTTAGATAGATCAAAGAATCCGATCCGAGGGCGGGATGAGAGGCTAGCCCAGCCGCAAACCAAGTCACGACTTGAGTAAAAGCAAACCTTTAGCCAACCCACCTAGACCTCACTGGGCCTCTCCTCTCCTGCTGGCAATAGCGTCTCTGGCTTTCAGTGGTCAGGCTGTGAGCAGTGGCGGCTTTCCAAAATGCTACGGAGAAGCACATCAAATGTCTTTTCTGCCGCTGACCGGTGCCGTTGGTGGGAACGGACCTTCTGAGCCGCACCTCCCTCGCCCCCAGTGCCGTTCCCCTCCGCGAGGGACCTCCCCAAAGCTCGCATAAGGAAGGGATCCACCTTCCACCTGCAGATTCCCAGCCCTTCCTGCCTCTTCTTCCTCTAGCCTGTGGAAACTCACATTTAAAATCTGGGGAAAATTCCAACTAAAAGGTATGTCAGACTAGTTCAAACTGTGAAGGATCCGGTGTGTTGCGTGTGTAGCCCAATTGTGAAGGTGAAACCAATCTCTCAAGTACAGAGAATATCCTGATCCCACCCTAACTGGCACCAGGTTTGTGGATGCCGAGGAGGGGGAGCCACTCGCTTGGTTCTTGTTTCTTCTGAATGCCAGCGTGCCGCCTTTTTGCTTCCAACATCTTTTACCAGCTTTTGAATTTTCAGTGTGGAAAATAACTGGTGAGGTCACTGTGAAGGCCAGATAGGAAGGGTTTTGGAATTCGGCTTTGGGGGTAGATATGTAACGGGGGAGCCAGCCTAACTGGCATAGAGGAGCAAAAGGTTCATGCCTACCTGATACTGCACTAGGAGAGAGGATTCCCCAAAGGCCCTGGCAGTCCTTTGGCTTTCAGCAGGAACCACACAATGTTTTGGACTAAGAACAACTCAGGCTATTGGTTAAATCAGAGCGAAGCTGACCCAAGGTCTCTTTGTCGTAATCTGATTGTTTTGTTTATGACTTCATTCTATAGCATTCTCTTATTTTTATCATTTTGCATCACCACCACCACTATCGTCATCATCATCATCATCATCACTAAGGAAGAGCAAAAAGGTAGACTTAGCTGCCTGCAGCTTCCTGAGAGCAAATTCCTTTAAGCATGCAGGCTGCATAAAATGGTGAAAAGCTGGCATGAGAGAGGCTGGCCAGGAGTGTCAGTATCAACTACTTTTCTCATTGTTCTGACAAAATGCCTGGCAAAGGCAACTTAGGGAAGGCGTGCTGGCTAGTTTTATGTCAACTTGACACAAGCTAGAGTCTTCCCAAAGGGGGGAGCCTCAACGGAGAAAAATGTCTCTGTAAGATAAGGCTCCAGGCAAGTCCTAGGGCATTTTCTTAGTGATTGATAGATGAGAAGGCAGGCCATTGTGGGTGGGGCCACTTCTGGGGTGACAGTCGGGGGTTCTATAAGAAAGCAGATTGAGCAAGCCATGATGAGCAAGCCAGTAAGCAGCACCCTTCCATGGCCTCTGCATCAGCTTCTGCCTCCAGGTTCTTGTCCTGCCTGAGTCCTTGCCCTCACTGCTTTTTGAGGATGAGCTGTTATATAGAAATGCAAATGAAATAAAACCTTTCTTCCCTAACTTGCTTTTGATCGTGGCGTTTCATCACAGTAATAGCAATTCTAAGACAGAAGGAAAAGTTGGTTTTAGCCCATAGTTTTTTGGCACAGTCAATCATGGTAGGGAAGGCATGGGAATGGGAGCCAGAGGCAGGTGGTCACATTGCATCCACAGTCAGGGAGCAGAGTTTAATTCATCTTACTTTCTGCAGTCCCCCATAGTTACTCAGTCAGGGACCCAGGTTCATGGCATGATGCCAGCCACATTCAGGGTAGCTCTTCCTTGCTCAGGTAAACTTCTCTGGAAAAGCTCATATTGACATGCCCAGAACTATGTTTCCATGGTGATTTTAAATACACCAAGCTGATAATCAATATTAATTATCAGACAGTTTGTGCCTTATGATTTAACCTCATCGGAAGCCCTCCCAAGTTTTCTAAGACACATTTTATTGGCAAAGAAACTAAGTTCTAAAGAGACCCAGCAGCTGGCTCCACACTGCCATATGCTAAGAGGGATGATCCTTTTGAGACCCATATCATGGTGACCCTCTACCACCCCAGGTCCCAAGGCTCCCAGGCTTGCTACTGACCAGCTGGCCTGAGATTGATTTGCTGTGCCTTTGACCCAGCAGAGAAGATGAGAAAGCCTGGATGAATGGGATTGCCATGGTCTCTAAACCAGAGAACGTGGGCGGTGATGGGTCCATCCTCCTGGAACAGGATTGCCATTGGAAATCCCAGACAGTAACTGATTTGCACCTGCTTCTGACAGCACTTATTCTCTAGGGTAGTTGTTTCATGTGGATATGGTGTATCCCCCAAGGGTTCATGTGTTGCAATGGGTCTAAACTAGTAGCCATGGGTCTTTTAAGAGATGGGCTGAGTGGGACGTTATTTTTGGTCTTTGGCTCCCTCTGTAAACACTCCCCCGGGAAGACCATCCACCATGATGTGACACAGGCAGTCAGGGTCCTTGAAAGTGCTGATGCCAGACATGCTATTTGGATTTTGAGCTTGCACAGTGGTGTGCCAAAACAACTTCTTTTCTTTGCAAGTGACCCAGGAGTTTCATTGTAGCAACAGAGACAGAGTGATACAGCATTTAAGCAAGGGGTCTGGTTGTAGCCATGGTTAGAGAGTGAAATGATCAGGATTAATGTTGATGCTGGTACAAGAGTTCTCATCAGGACTGACTGGCACCAGGGTTAAGTGTGTCATGCACCTCACCTACAGAATCCAGGACCAGCAACTCTATAAAAGTCTAAAGCTTTTTTAGAGCCAGGGCTGGAGAGATGGCTCAGCGGTTAAGACCACTTAGTGCTCTTCCAGAGGACCCGAGTTTGATTCTCAGCAACCACATGGTGGCTCACAAACCACCTGGAACTCCAGCTCCAGACTTTCTGACGCCCCCTTCTGGCCTTCACAGGCACACATGCATGCATACACATAATTAAAAATAAAATAAAATCTTAAAAAAATCTAAAGCCAAATGTTATATAAAACGTTAGTTAAAAAAATTAAAAAAAACAACCCATATTTGTAAGTGTGGATGTTTAAGAGAGTCACACACATTCCATTTGGGGACTTACCATGTGGCAGTGTCATAATAGTTACATAGATTATATAGGGGTTGGAAGTATTTATAGTTCACATAAAACCTTTAAGTGGGCTGGCAGAGTGAAGGGTTGGTCTATAGTGTTGCACAGTAGCTACAATGACACACTTTGATACACTGAGAAGATAGGACCAGAAAGGGCACTTGGAAGGGTGCTTACTGTTTTAGAGCAGGTGGGTGCTGCTGCCTGTCTTTGTTCTCTCCAGCCAATAGATGTAAGCTGCAGGATGCTGGTCAAGGTAGGCAAGCCTCAAGAGGGTGGGGCTGTAGGGCTGGTCACTGCCTCTCTTTGAATCTGGTAGATTCCAGAAACTTCTTCCTTACAGGAGGAACGAAAAGATCAAATTCCACCCAAATGTGTGATGAGACACATTTTGTTACAATCGCTCCCCATTTGCTTGATTCTCAACCACTGGGAAAGGTTGTTCCAAACTCACAGTGAAGATGAATGGACGTTAAAAAAAAAAAACATCCTATTAATGATTAAAGTTTACAACTTTAGAACA